CTTCTGAGTTCTGCTGGGTTGAGTTGTTTGACGAATCCCAACGAGTCGGTTGCACGTGCTCGGTCTCTTCGAGCCACATCAATCAAAAATAATTTATATGAGAGCGAAGCCCAAAGCTTGGCCATCTAAGATATGGCTAAGACACGTAGTTCACCACATACCGCAGGTAATTCGGGCCCAAATGCATTGGACTTGTTCATTCAAAACTTGTGTGTGCTTCACAGTGTTTATAATTTACGAGCTCGGTTTTGGCCTGGAAAAGTGTCCACAGCTAATTGATTTATGCCAGTGGAGGTGGCTTCTGGAGAATTTAAAATTTTTACCAGGAATACCATTTATGGAATTCAAATATCCAGCAATCCGTCGGTAGTACGTGCAATTGGGCTGTCACGATTTAAAAGATAGCGATGTCAGCTTTTCGGCTTAGAAAGGGTTAATACCTCTAACTTGCGGTTGGAATGCTGCCAGCTGAGGTCTGCTATTTACAAAATATTTATGCCAAATGTCTGGAATATAGAACAGTAATTAGACAATCGAACAATTGAATGGTTTATATACGAGGCAGGAAAATCAATAGCACCCTCTCGCCAGGCACAAAAGAACTTGGTGCGTCCATTAAATTTGTCACCCGCGGCTAAGCTAAATGTCAAATAGTACTCACGGCCATTCCAGGATATATACTATAGACACACACACACACAGTATTGCTAGGGGAGAACAATAACAGCATCAATTTGACACGTACAGGCGCTAATGATGGGAATGGCCAGCCAACTGAACGATCGAGAGTCCTGTATCCTGAGTCCTGAATCCTGTGCTGCGGACAGACCGCTCAACATGCCCACAATTGAACCACCCGAACTGGGTCCCTTTAGGAACTTTGACATCCTGCCGTTTCGAGCAGTCGAAATCCCACTCTCATTCCCCCGACTTTCTCCGCTGTCACTTCCTGCTGGTGTGAGTTGACGTTCTGAGAGTCGACGACTGCCAATTTAATTCCCATTGACAAAATGCACAATTGCCGGACACCATGCCGCTTTCCTTGGCCCGAATCTCTCCTCCCCTTTGGCTGAACTGAAATGGCCCTTTGTTCGCAATGTAACTGTTCTTGTAATTGTAATTTCTGCTGGTGACAGGCCCAGAATCCCCGCACACTTGCTATTAATTATTTTAGAAAATCGCCTGTAATAACAATAAATTTATGCAACCCACTTTCTTGCACACACATTCCTGAATTTTCCACCCACAACTGTTCAATTTTTCACGACATTCAAATATTTGCTTTTCGGCATTGCCAAGGCCAATCGAGAATGGTTAGTTGTCGAATGGGAGTGCAATCAAGGCAAATGTTTGCACTGGGCTTTCGACTGTCTGACATCGCGGGGATTTCCCAGCTAACCAATCCCAATTTCCCCGACCTGCCATACCAACCACTTTCAATTTTGACGGCATATCGATTTAATAAATTTGCGTGTGGCCCTTGCGACAATTTGATTGACAACTAAGTTCGGCCCCCTCAGTCAGTCGCTTGATTTGAGTTGGTTAGTCGAGTTTTTTATATCTGCCCTGCTATTCCGAGGGCCAAGAGAGATGGCAAAGAGATATGTACACACGACTGCCATTGATAGGGGGCATGGGGAATTGGTTTGGTTTTAAGCCACTCGGAAGGACAACAAAAAGTGAAGCGAAATCTTTCGAGGGCCAAAAGCCACTCACTCTTGATTAGTTAGATCAAAAATTTTGCCAATTGAGTTGTAGCTTGCAGTTGAATTTTAGGCATTTGAATATCAGACCAACAGCTTATCGAATATAAAGTCTATGGAGTGTTTTTCCACAATCTGAACCTTAATCCATTTTCAATTTCGTTTATTAAAATTTCGAGTGACTTAAATTCGTTTAGGTGGTTTATAAATCCTCTTACTATTTCTACTTATGTATTTCGTATATTAAAATTATTTTAAATAAAAATATTACATTTTAAAAATTACTTTACAACCAAAAAAACTTAATGTGAAACGATGATCAATTTTGTATTATGTGGTATCAATTTCGACATTACCTAATATCAATAATTTATCAGTATTTCCTGGTAAAAGATACATGCGTATAAATACCAGAAATTTACCACGCGCATATCGATTTAATCACAGATGTTTTTTTTGTGTAATTAAAAAAAAAAAAAAAATCTATTCCCATGGCTTCTGCTTAGCCGTTACTTTTGATCAGTGGCTGGTTGGACCCACCTCATTTCGCTTTAGCAGCCTACAACCTTACATTAAATTCATAAATCAAATGCTTCTATGCGATCAAAGACCATGGACGGAAAATTGTTAGCATCCGGGTAATTTAAATAAAAATTCTGTTACCGTGTATCTGCATTTCCATTCAACAACCGTAGGTTTCCATGGCGGTGGCAGATACGAATGGAAGCCCGAAATAGACGGTGGCGGCAATTAAAATTAGAATTCACCAAAAAATGTATATTTAGGCGCGCTTAATTATGACCCTAGCTAGCGACCCAGGAGCATAATGAAGGTATTGAAAAGGCGTTGACATGCAACCGATAATTAAATTCCGAAGCCGACAATGAGACACACTGGGCCAGTTCCCACATAATAAGGATTTAGCAATAAAACTCTAGCATATGTAAATTCATCGGGGCTGGCGAAGGGCCCTCCCGGGACTTTGGTGTGAACCGGGGCGCTCTAAGGTCTGGGATCGAGATCTGGGACCTGGATCTGATCGCTAATGCCGTGCCCGTGCATCTTGAGCGGGACTGTGCCGTTAGTTTTCCGAGCGGGAAACGTGCACCCGCACATAATGTGCAAGAACAGCAACTAAAGTGTCAACTTTTTGGGCTGTAAATATTGGACGATACGAGTACGAACCCCTCCTGGCATTTGCTTTCTAATTTGGGCACACGCTCCTCGACAAGAGGAAACAACAACAACGAAAGAGGGGAAGTAATGCATTTCCGTTTTTCACACAGGCATTTGAAAGCAATTTTTCAAAATTGAAATTCATTTCATATGAGACTGTCTATGCTGCTGCCATATCCATTATTTTCCTATCGCACACCCGTTATCTGTGACAGCGGATCAGCGAATGAGATCGTTTAGCTGCGATAACACCGGGGACCGGGGAAACCCAGCAAGTGTTGAAAATAACCGAACAGTCGGGGTGACAATCGTGCGGTTCGAGGGCGGGAGAAATGCCTCATCCTAAAATTAGTTCTAGCTTTTGGACCTCTCTATCAAAGATTCGAGATCAAATTAATCCCGAACCACCCTGCTGAAAACAGGGCCGCATTGTAACTCCAGATTGACTTGGCAATAAACTACACACACAGCCGCTACAATATTTTCCGAGCCACCGCAAACGTCTTAGTCATCCATCCACCCAGCAACCCTTTTCGGCCAGGGCAATCCAACTATTCAGCGACTCCCAACAATGTATCCCATTGAAAAGAAGCCTGCTTCATCATCATCCGTATCCATCCATCCCCACTGGCCGGTGCCGGTCTCTTGGTAACTCCAAACAATGAACTCATAACTCAAGTGACACTTTTTAACTTGACTGCATTTCATCATGTGGATGTGGTGGTACGTCTTGGAGCAGCCCGTCTTGGTCTCGGCTCTTTTCTTGTTTCGTCCAACAATATTCAAATTGAGTTTTCCAGTGCAACTTGGAGTCGGAGTTGGAGTCCCTGCCTTCTGCCTTCTCCTCCTCGTCTTCGTCTGCGACTGTAGTCATCCATCGTTGGAAAGTTTTTTGTTGCCTGGTATTTGTTAGTTGATAAAAGGCCAAGCCATTATATGCATGGCCGGGCTGCACAATTTGAAGTGGGTAAAATTTGTATGCATGTGGCTGCCATGACAACGCCCCAACGTCCAGGTCCCAACTACGACGACCCCTCTCTCCATTTTCAGTTCTAAACTCCATCGCCATCGCCATCTCCGACTGCCTGCGACCTTTCAATTCAAACAAGGGGCAGGGATTCTTTTTCAAATTGTCATTGCTGCTGGGCTGGGTCCTTCAAAGAATTCTTGGCTTTCTTTTTACTAACGCAGCGCTCAGCTCAGTTCTGTTCAGATTCTGTTGTCTCATGTCGCTGGGGCTTGTCAACCTGCCGGCCCCGTGGTTCCTCACTCTCACACCCAGTATCTCCCAGCATCTCTTTCTCCGATTCTGATTCAGATTCTGATCCCCGGGAATCGACTCGACTCCGACCGGCAGACAAGTGCAATGAACCGCGTTTGTCTTCCTCCATTGCAGGCTGCTGCGGCGTTGATTTATGTTACATCTTCTATGGTTACATTGGCTCTCGATCCCATTCCCCCCTGCTTTCCCCGATTTTCGCCATTAAGCGCAGCTCATATGTTACCCGAAAGGTACACATACTCTCCGTATATGTGTGTATAAACGGGGACGAAGGCGGGCGAACCTCACACGTGAAATGATTTATTAGCGGTAATTGGTGTCACAGTGTTCCAAAGAAAAGGAAAGGATTCTCATCCCCCCCAAGTACCATCATTCCATTTTCCATTGCTTGCCTTCTCGGTTGCCAGGCACCCGTTGTTTCGAACTTCTCTTTTAATTATCTTGATTTTAAACTTATTAAAATTGACAAATGATTTTCGTAGACAACGTTGTGGTGGCTCGAAGGAAACAGGTTGTCAATGGCTGCTTCCCAGAATGCCGAGAGTTGATAAATCACGGAATGCGGCAGCAAAGTCATCTCTTTAACTCCAAAATCATTCTGGGATTTTCTTTGAGCTGGGTTTCGGACATTGCTAGGATCACTCGAGTTGACACACCTGGTTATGTATCGATGGGTATGCTGATTAGATACTGATAAATAATATGTTCTGTAAAAGGGGTTCTAGGAAAAGAGGAGACAGCTAAATAGTTGGTCAATTGTGGATGAAATGCTTTCCAAATTAGTTTAATCTTATCACGGATATTAAAATGTTCTATAAAATTAAAAAGCCACATTAAAATTTGCTTTAGTGCAACTTGAACAACTTTATTTCACAACATACACCTGAGATGTGCAAACTCAGCTAATCAACTTTTTAGGACATATGCGAAGCCATCTCTACTAGATCTCTAGTGATGTCCTGGCATTGCCTTGTGCTCCTTCAGGCACATCGTCACCTTAAAGGCCGTGTCGCAATCGTTGGTGCCCTTGATGTCCTTGCAGGCATTCACCCCCGAGGTGATCTCGTCCATCTTGTCCTGGATCTGCGGCACCTTCTTGAGAGTATCGAGCAGGGCCTGGGCATTGAACTGGCCATTGGTGAGGTGGCCCTGCTTCTCCATCAGGCACTTGGTGTAGCACTTGAGGTTCTCCTTAGCATTGCTCTGCATTCCGCTGGCCATGAACTCCTTGAGATCGGCCTCGGTCACCTGGGTGGTCTGCATGCACTGCTGCATTATCTGCCGGAAGTCCGGATCGCACTATGGAAAAACAACCGTGGTTAAAAATAATACACAACAGGTACAGTGAGTGCTCCTCTTACCTGACCCACGGCCAGGAGGACAGTAAGGGCTGCACAGAAGAGGGTGAACTTCATTTTGAGGTTTGTTTTGGTTTAAGCTTTTCCGGATTCACTCGAAAGCCTCGACTGTTGGTCATTTGCTCAAAATCTGCGGCTTTTATACCAGATCTCTACGATTTTGAATCTACGGAGGGAATGCAATTAAGGCAATTAAACTTTTTGCGAGATGAATCAGAATTTGATTACGCACAATACAGACAATTACTCCACAGTACAATTTCCCTTTTTCGATTGTAATTATATTCCATTATCAGTCCATTTGCAGTTTTTGGGGGGAGTTGGGCTGGGAAATCAGCAAAGTTAGTCGCAATTAGTTGCCGGCCCCCACAACAAATCAATTATTCATTTATTGTATTTAGATGCGGTCAGAGTTTGACAATTTTCGGCCTTTGTTTGAGCCATTCACACTTGCCCAATTGATTTGCATGCCATTTGTTCTGGCCCGGCCATTGCCGAATCCCCAATTGATATTTCGGAAGGCTTTTAATCTCACATAATCACGGCAATATTTCCGAGTCTGCTGACAACGGACGAAGGTCGGCTGTGAATAATTTACCAAATTAGCAGAGCGCTCGTACTCATAAATACGAGCATTTGCAAAGCTTGAAATATGCAGTATTTTAATAAAAGTAATTCCAAAATTCATTACTATTAGTAGTGTGATTAAAACTGTTTGTAATTAGATTAGGTTGCCTTTGACAAATAATTCGCTTTGCTGAACATTAGGCGATTTAATCTAAAAATATTTCAAGTTATTGCTAGTCATGGCATAAAATAGGTCTAAATTACATGCAATAGATCTAAAAATAGTAGAAATAGTAAATAATGAACAATATAAATAATTGAAATATTAATTACAACAGTTTATTTAAATCCTACAGCCATCAGTGCCTTGAAAGGTGATCTAATACATTTTCCCATTCAACTGCAGACGTTTTTAATCGAACTTACAGATTGCCCAAGTCTGCTATGACTATCCATAACAATTAAACAACCATCAGTCCCAACCCCCGGCTATGACACAACAAACATTTGTTTGCCGGAGACGGAGGCGAAGGGTTTGCGGATATAAAATAACTTGCATAATTCCTGGGCAAATTCAAATCAATAGACAAACAATAAGTTCGAGTTCGCAGGCCAACTGCCATTTGCAGGGCTGGGGAGGTCCATGTTGACAGCACAAATAATTTATGCCTTTGGTATAAAGAGGAGAGCACCTGCCCGAGTCGAAACCGGAGCCTGGCCACGCCCACCTTGGTCGTGAGCCTCCCTACATGACGGTTGGGTTTTTGCGCCAAGAAACGAAAAGAGGAGACTCCGAAAGAAGGACGATTCCAAGTCCTGTTGGCCAAGTGGTTGACAAAAGGCCGAGCGGTGAAAAACCGGAGAGGAGTCGGCGAATTGGCTGCCCTGCTTGTCATTAGTCAGGCAGGATAAGCAAAGGACATGGCCATAAAAAGGGCAATGCGATGGCGCCCGAGCAGGGACACTTGCACAGACACAAGGTGTGTCCTGTGAATGAATTGCTGAGTAACCAATAATGAAGTAAAACTGTTCAAGTCCTGTGAATGTGTCATTGTGGCATGGGCTAAACTGGGCTAAAATGGGGAGAGCTGGTAAGACTGCGAAGCAGACGACAACCGAACACAATTCACTGTCAGTTGCATTGTTTTGACCTGATTTACATGCCCCAGCCATCTAACCATCCAGCCAGCCAGCTCAACTGATATTAGGAATGAAGGCTGAAGACCGTTCGGTGGACTTTTATAAATTACAAAGGCCACCGCACAAAAGGCGATAGATGCAGGATGCCTGGCTCGGCTCCAGCTGGCCTTCCCTCGCTCTATCCTTTCCCCACTTTTCCCGGCTTTCCTCCTGCTCTTCCAGGCAGCAGACGACAACGATGACAGGACGAAACAAAGGCCAACGTTAATGAGCCAAGAGAATGGCCCGAGCCGTAACAAACGTGGCTAAATAAAGAGCGGGGCAAATTGTAAGAAAGCAGAACTGTGTCACAATGTTTTGACAGGAGTCGGGGAGCCAGGAGTCCTAGGACTTCGTAGCACAGAGCAGCCAGAGAAATGGAACAGGACAACACAGGACAACTCAGCTAGTTAAGCGGCCAAAGACAAAGTTGATACAATTAGATTTGTATGGTAAATAGTTTGTGGGATGGTAAGGCGGCTATGTGTGCGAAGGGGCAAAGTTTAATAAATGTATAAAATTAATTAGCCAGTTGAATGCTCATTAACAGCTGGCAACGGGCTCAAGCTCTGACAACTCTGTTGCCAGAGCCTCCTGCTGGTTTCCCTTTAAGCTCGAAGGCCCGGCTTTAAGCCAGGTTGGGTGGAAATGGAAGTGGATGTGGAAGTGGACAGGCCAGGGCAGCTGTCAAGCTGCCTCAATTAATTCCCAGCAGCAGCAGCAGTCAGTCAATGAAATGTGCTGTGCCGCTTACCATTTTCTAACGTCCATCTGTTTTGGCATTTTCACACCTCCCGCCCGGAATTTCCCTTCAACCTCGATTTCGATCTCCCGCCGAGCCGAATAATGGGGAAAAAGGAAAAGTGAAAACCCCCAAAAATGAATGTTGACCTTTCACAATTGCAAGCCGCATGAGTTCTTTGTTTGCTGCAACTTGCGTTTTACGGTTTTCGGGTTTTCAGTTTTCTGGTTTTCGAATGATGCACCAGCGGTTGTGCGTTGACCACAAAAGCTAAGGGCTCGAACAAAGGAATGAGGAAGGGCCGGGGGGACCATACGAAATCAAAATATATTTCGGACATTGTGGTAAAGTAATTGGATTTCGAGGCATTTATTATAATATTGAAAATTTTTGGTTCGGGGGGGAATTTTCGGAACGTATCAACAGCAGGGGAAGTGCATATAGCCAGAGAGAAACCAATGGAAATTTCAAAATAAATCCAGTAAAATGTCTGCATGCGTTAACGGGTACAGGACCTAAATCAATATCGCAATGCGATTGTGAGTGTAAGTTTGGCTTCTCGAAAATCCGGAATTTAATTCTAGCAAATAATATTATAATATTGATGCGGTTTTATACGTTTCAGGCATGAAAAACAGAGAAACCTAGAAAGCCATATAGATTTAAATTAAGAGGTACTAGACTTCAGGCCTTCTTGCCTTTCACTCCAACCTCCCAGCTTGTTGACAACTTTAAAACAAGTCCCTTTCGTAAACACATTTCAAGTGCGAAGGCTTTTTTGGTCTGACTGCTTTATTGGATGTAAAATTTGTATAATTTGCACTCGTCTTTATTTTGGACAGCTATAATTGGAATCGGAACTCACGGCCCTTCAGTTCCATGGCCAATCAACTCCCCACACAAACACACATCCACATTGCACAAGCAGATGAAGGGAAAAAATTCAAAATGCGAGAGCACTGAGTTATTGAAATTAAACATCAAATGTCAAAGGCAGTCACCATCGCAGGCCAATTCGCTGTCTTCGCATTGTGGCAGTGAAAAGAGGACGAGACGCACAAAAGCACAAAGGTCCTTCTACATGCACCAGGATACCGGGATATTAGAGGAGGAGGGGGTACAGAAGTTTTCTTTTTTTTTTTTTGGGAAAAATGGCTGCCTGACAAGTTGCCAAAGAGCGAGGAATTCGAATTTGTGTGGAAGTTTTTGGCGAAAATAAAGTCGAGGCAGACGCCGCCGAAGACAATTGCCCGAGCAAATGAAATCAAGCACAAGAAGCTCAAGGATGTAAGAAGTAGCATATGGGGAGGGGGTCTCTAAATACGAATGTCTTCTTCCCCCCCTCACACACAAATACAATTTACATGCGTACGTGTGGCAGAGGTGGGGTAAAAAGGGAATGGGGATGGGGAAGGGACAGCAGGCTGCACAGTGCGTCTCAGTGACATGTCCTTAGGATATTTGTATGCAAACAGGGCACAATGCGCTGAAATCGATATGCGGGCGCGCGGCTCCCTTCCTCCCTTTCCTTTCCTTCCCTTCCCTTCCGCCAGCCAAAGGACTCAGCGCAAGGAGGCTGCATCTGAGCTGGCGGGCGGCTTAGACTCCGCTTCCATCTCCTTTTCCAGCTCCATCTCTATCTGCGTCTTCGCCTGGCAGTTGACAGCCATGTGCAGCGGCGCAATGAAATGAAAAATGGTGAGAAGGAGACGGCGACGGCGACAACGCCTGCAGCTTCAAACTCCAGCTCGCATAACAACACTGAAAAAAATAATGGAGAGATTTCACATTCGAACCAATCTTTTTAAGTCCGAACAGATGGGATTTAAAGAGCATACATATGTATGTAATTAAATTACAATTTCAGTAATGATCACCTGATCATGAAATTTTCCCCAAGGAGATCAACTGGTCCAAAAATAAAATAAAAAATACATCAATTTAAACTGTCAAGTCCTTCAGGTAATTTCGATTTGTTTTAAATTTATTTGGGGCTGCATATTACCTGTTCTTATTTTTAAGTAAAGGTCACACAGTTTTATTCGATAAATTTTTTCCGGTGCAGTCCTGTGTCAAAGCCCGCGGCGACAACGATGGCCTGCTGACAAGCCCTTCGTCGCACTTATGTGCGTGTGTTCGTCTGTATATGGAATGGGGGGGGGGGATGGTTGAGACTGATATGTGATATTAGTTTGATCTATTGTGATTTCATGCAGGGATGCAGCTTTCTTTGGAAATGGAATAAAGCCGCAAAAGCCACCATCAAATTGGTAAATTGAAGATTATTAAATGGAGCTTAGACTGTGCGGTCGCGAACTCAAACTCAAACAGAACAGTCAAGTGCATATTCAAATAGCTATTTCCAGTGGATGACCAACTATAATCAATCATTTTGCCATTCCAATTTGATGGACACCAACCAATAAGTGAATTTAATAACAGCTGTGCAGGTTGAACCACCTAATAATGGATTTTTACCCCGAATTCCTGACGCCTTCCATCAATTTCAATAAGGAACATGATTCTGCCATTTTCAACTGCAACACTTGGGAATTCCGGGGCTTGCGTCATTTTTGGAGAGCTCTCAACGCATCCCTGGTTTATTCGCTGCCTGATTG